CATTAATTATTTTTTAAATAATAAATTATTCATAATAAATACTGCAAAATTTCATAAAAAATAAGAATTGTCAACTTTGATTTACATCATGATAACTTTAACACATTTAACTAATTCTTTCATAATTAAACATACAGCTTTTAATTCTAAATTAATTTTGTGACTAAATGGAACACTTGTACTTATAAAAATCAGTGGTCAGGGACTAGTGAAGGCAAAAAGTTGGTTCAAAATTATTGCAAAAAAAAATGACAAGTGATACATAGGACCTAAGATACACGTTTTCCTTCAGACAGTCATAAGAATTTGACCTTAAAATCTTAATATAAAAAAAAGACTGCATGTGTGCTGCTTTTCAGGCTGCAAAGCAGAACTCTGGAAATGGAGGAGGGAGTGATAAAGTTTCGAGCAAGTCTGTTCTGACTCGGAAAGAGAACCAGGGTGCGCAGTACCGACACCACCCCCTTCGTGCTCGCCGTAGGCCTCCTAAAGGCATGTACCTGGAACAGGAGGACATTGTCACCCTCTCTGCATCCACTGATTCAGGAACTGTTTCTATCAGACAGCTGGACACACAACTAGTGTCACTTAAGAGACAGGTAATGTGCATGGAAACACACTTTTAGTATCAAATCACAATGTTTTGGTAGTGTTTGTGAGGGTTTTTTTTAAAGAAATTAATACTTTTAACCAGCCAGGATGTGTTAAATTGATCAAAAGTGACTTTTTTCTGTTTGAATTAAATGCTGTTCATCACTATTCATCAAAAATCCTGAAATTTAGAATTGTTACTAAAAAATATTAAGCAGCAAAACCTGTTTTTAACATTGACGATGATAAGAAATGTTCAATCAAGAAATGCAATCACCCTTTAGAACATTTTTGTCTCTCTTGTTTTGATTTTAGGTCCAAAGTATCAAGCAAACAAACAGCGTTCTCAAGCACACCTTGGGTGATGAAATTGAAGGCATGAGACCTTCAGAGGTAAGCTTTCATCTCCATTTCTCTGATACACAAACCACACACATTTGTCATTCACACTGCATTGAAAAATTGTGGTATACATGTAAAAGTTCAAATGCAAGGCACAATATTAAATGGCATTTAATGTATTTTGAGAGTGTGTATGTAGATTCTGATCAAAATGTCATAGTTCTGATACATTATACCCCTAATTATTCTGCACGCTCTGCATTTCCTTCAGCCCTCTCAAAAAATCAACACTCGCTGGACGACGGAGGAGCAGCTCCTGGCTGTTCAAGGTGAGCTGGGATATCTCTAATTCCTGATATCCATAAATTAAAGAACAGATCTAAAAATGAACATCCATGTTTCATATTGTACATTATAATGATGTGATGCCTAAATTCACATGTAGCATTACTAAAACCACTGATTTCAGTTTGAAGTGTTATTTATTTAGACAAAATCGAGTAGAATTTTGACATTTTATTAGTTATCAGTCTGAGCTTTAATTTAATGCATCCATAGTTAAAAATAAAATAAAAGAATGGTTCTGTAATCCTCCCAAAAGACTCCAAAAATATCACTTGTTCACTTGCATACGTATTGAAAACATCAAAAAGTAGCTAAATCCAGCTAGGCTAAGATTTAACTTGCTAAAATGTATGTTACAACTAATACCTGTCCAGTTCATATTACCCAAACTGATGCTCATGCCAAATTAGGGAGTTCCTATTCACCTCAAAGTAACCCTTCCACTTTGTAATCTTTCATGACACTTTGCAGTAATTAAGTCAACATGAAATTAAAATGCTCTTTTCTTGTTTTTTTTTTTTTTGTTATGTAAATTATTTATCTGTGGGCATAATTTCTGGTTTGTGCCAACTTTAAGAAATGTCATTGTGCGAGTATATCCAAAGCTATCACTTTCAAAGTATTCAATGACATTTTAAATCAAGATGATGTCTTGGATTTGCCAGTAGGAGATACTACAGATTGAATGCATAATATTGTTTCATTTTAAGCATTGCTGTGAGTGTGAACAGATTTATCATGTAGCTATTTTCCATCCACATGCTCTCCAGCTATTAGGCGATACGGCAAAGACTTTGCAGCCATAGCTGACGTGATTGGCAACAAGACGTCAGCGCAGGTCAGCTCGTTCTTCGTCAGCTACCGGAGACGCTTCAATCTTGAGGAGGTGCTACGTGAATGGCAGGCAGAACAGGAAGTGGTGCAAGGGAGCAGCGGGAGGACTGTGAACACGGAGCTAAATGGGTCGGCAGGAGCGGAAGATGATGAGGTAAGAGAGATTTTGAGTTGTGTAATAGGTGGAATAGGACTTGTTTTAGCAGGCAGGGCTTTTATCTTAGAGATAAAGAACAGTTAACAACAACCGAGGAATTCATTTTCTCTTTTCTATCTTTCTTTGTTATTATAGGTGAAGATGGACGGCATCTCTCCGCCTCACTCTGACAGTCTGTTGCCCTCTTCAGATGCTAGTGTTGGTGGAAACCCCAACTCTACCCAGCCCTCCCCACCTCTCACTCAACCCCCACCCTTACTGCGGCCTGCACCCCCCTCAGCGCCCCCTAGCCTGCTGCGCCAGCCCCCTCCGCTACAGACGCGACCTCTACAAAACCGGACGCCCCACAACCACCCTCCGCCTCCCCCTCCGCTCATCAGACCTGCGGTGGCATCCTCGCTCCACCAGGGGGCACTGAGGAACTCTCTAAGTTCCTCCTCTGCCTCTGCTGGACAGCTGCCGCCCTCACTGGTGGGGCTGAAGGTGGAATCCCCCCAGTCACACTGATGCCATGGAACATTTGCCTTTTTATAATGGTTTTTAGGAGACCTAATTTGGTCTCAAATCAGTGTAAAAGGCCAATGTAGTAATGCCTCTCAAGAGAAATATGAAAAGGAAAAAAAAACAAAACAGAGGTGAACTGGAAGCAAAGCTGGACATGCGCCAAAACACGTTTATCAATTCAGGAAGGATGAAACACACAGTGTGATCTGCTTCTACACTTCAGGACCGAGAAGAACCCTCCATATAAACCCCCAGTCTTGCCAAAAAACAACCCCCACGAACCCATCTGTCCTCAGGTCCTACAGCTATACCTCGTGAACAGTTTCAAGCACAACTGCTTCCACTGTAACTACAGCTATTGAAACACCATCTGTCATAAGCGGAAGCTGGAAGTTTAACCAAAATTGTGGGGTAAAACCTTATACACTGGAATTAAAAACTGCCACGACAACAGACTCAGTTGTTCCTTCCACCATCTCTATGGCAACAGCTGCACATCACCTAGTGTGCATGACTACAGACACAGCCGAGTGTTGTGAAGTACACCTGGTGTCAGGAAACTCACTCTGCCATTGAAGAGCCATGCTGATAGAATCGTCCTGGGTGAAGCGTGTTTTTGTCGTTTGTATAAATAGGTCCTTGAGATATTGTTAGGTAGTGAATTTATGTAGTAATAGTAAATATTGACTAAGCACTAAGTGATGCAAAATACTTGATTTTTTTGTTGCAACTCTGAAATACACTGATTTAATCTCGCTCTTAAAGGCACAAACACAGAAGCATCAAAACACTAAAGATGATTCCTGAGGAAGCTCGTACGAGAGTATTCGTTTCTTCCAAAATGTTGTATGTATGTGAGAACTGTTTACATATAAACTGGATTTGCTTGTGACTATTTTTTGTTTTAATTTTTGATTTGTTTTTTCAGAATAAAGTGAAAATGACCAGATGAGTTTGTTGTTACTCTATGCAAACTACAGCTATTTTTGTACAAGACCCTAAAATATGCACTAATAGGTGATGATAAACGTTATCCTTAATCAGGTCCCATAGGCTACAGGTGGGAATGAGACACATTTTTTAGTAATTTTTCACAGAGATATGAGGCAGCAACATGATGTTTTGTTTCCGCAGGCGATCAGAACAGGTTTCCAAATGGGTGTGGGGGCAACAGTCAGAAAAAAAACCCCAAACAAATATGAATTGTTCGGTAAATAAACGCATTTGACCCATGATACGTGAACGGAATCGTACTGGACGCGTGTATAGAGTGTTTTCGGTGTGGTTTCAGTAACTTACAGCGTCTGAGATGGCAGGTTTTAGATCCAGTCACGCCACGATCTTCTTCCTCGGAGCGGTTCCCGCCAGTTTTTATTTGTGGTCTGCGCGCGACTCAGTGCTCGTTGTCCGTTAATCAAGTTTTTACAGCCTTGCTACTTGCTAGTATTTTATTTAGTAAATTTGTATTCGTTATTTTATTTTTTTTTAAACCTGACTCTTTGCTGTTTTAATTTTTGACAAATTGCGTGGGAAACAACATTTAACCACTAATACAATTGTAGGAAAAACTTTCCATACATATGCACTATAAAATAGTCAAAACATTTTCAAAAGCAAGTAGTTTTACCAGTGTTTAAAGAAGTTTAAATGTGGGTGAAACTGACGTCGTACTTGCTTTTGTGGGTTAGGTTTAAAATACCAATAATATTTTAGTTTCCTATGGCTTTAGTACTGTAAGCCAACAATAAAATCTTAAGTTTCTTATAGTTATTTGTCCTTCTATAAGAAAAAAAAAACAAAAACCCACAGCTGCCTTTAGTTTTAGCCTAGAACTTCATATTTTAGAACTTCTAGAAGAGGTCTCTCAAAAGAGGATCATCATACATTTTTGGAAACCCCTGGTTAAGGACAAAAACCCCTCAGATTTTAAGTAAATTTATCATGGGGTGATCAGTTAGGACACATGTAATTATTACACAGTAACACAAGCTAATATTTGAAGAGCTTATTCAATTGGCTTTATGCACAGCTATACTACTTCCTGAACTTCAGCCAGCTCCTTTGTTTGCTGTCTGCCATTATTGGACAAACCGATTAATTCAGGTGTGCCTGATAGTGATGCAAAACATACCTTCAAAAAAGTACATTCAGTATGTCAGTATATGCCACATATGATATGGATATATTAAATGTTAGAACATATTACATCAGTTTTAATACAGACAGCTTGATTTTAATAGTTTTATTACTATCATTGATCATAATCATCTTTGCACAAAACAAAAAAACATTTGGTGTATTTCTATGTGAACCCTCCTATCCCGACAGCAAAGAGTCTGAACACAAATAATAAAATTACAGCAAACCAAAAACTTGTGAATAAAAATATCAACCCTTAAAAATAAACAATACTTAATATAATTGGATCCCCAGCACCTTGAACAAATGATCAGTTGTGAGAACAGCAAAGTACATGACAAAAAAGAAAAAAGAAAATCATTATTTTCTATGAAGATAAAAAACACACATGTGCACAGTTGTCCCCTGAACTGGTGACAAGACTTTACAAGGAGATCTGATCCCACCCCCCCCACCCCCCTCCTCTTTACACAACAAGAAGTGACGGTGCACCCCATGTCAACTAGAGGATGCATGCAAGCATGTACAGCTCAGCAGAAATGGATGGAAACACACTGTGGCTATCTAGTTGGTTGTCAGTGTACCTTTTTTTTTTTTTACGCAGACACATCTGCAGGTTGGTTCCTGTCTGCTCTAATGACTGATCTGCTTGTGCGATAATGACATCTGAACTGATTTCAATAGTGAAAATGATAATGCCAACAAAATATTGGAATTAACAGAACACCAATATTTGACTCTCCATGGCAGGTACTTGTGGTCTCAAGGCTACGTATTAATAGTCTCTGCATTGAATATGAAACAATGCAAGCCTTTTGGTTATTCAGATATGACACTCCATCGTCATCGTCATTCTCTCTCACACACACATACACATTCAATCACAACACGAGTGTACCATCAAATGAGTAACGCCAAAAAGCCACCTACAGACGAGACGGAGGTGGAAAGTTCTTGGCTTGAACCATGAAAGGTCGTGGATGCAGAGAAGAGCAGCTCGACATCAGTTCCTTAGTCACGAAAATGGCGTGGGAATGATTAGTTGAGTGGATTTTGTCCTTTAATGTCTTTTCCAGTGACTTTTTTAAGCATTTTTAGGCATGAGGAGAGTATTTGCAGCCCCATAATCCTTAGCGACAAAGTGGGGCAAGAGTGTGAAAGGTTCAGTGGGAGTCATGTGGTGCTTTTTTCAGACATTCTTTATACAAAGGCATAGAACGATCAAGAACACGAGACCACAAATAAAAGAAAAAGAATTTGTTTTTCCTAGGAATAATATTAAAACATAATCATTGGTAAATACAACAATGAAACACATTTAATTTCTTTAAGAAAATAAAAAGGCAACAGAAATTCACCCATTCCAGTGCAGCAAATCTAAACCCAGCCGATTAAGAAATAAAATCACCGTAACCACAATTTAGTCCTGTCAGTATTGATCAAGTGTGCTGGCCCTTACTGAACAACGGTGAGGCGTAACCCTGTTGATAGATTAAGAGGAAGAAATAAACACAGATAAGAGTGTGTGTTTCTCTCTGAAGGGGGCACAAACATAATTGTCCACCTCCACCTGTGATTCTGAAGTAAATGGCCACCCCTCTTTCAAGTTTGGCGTTTGTTTTATGCTCTGTCAGTTTCAATAGGCAACAGGTGCGTTTGTGTGCGAGAGACTGAAATGAATTGCCGTGTCGAGACCCGTCGGCTCACTGAATTGAACATTTTCAGAACAAGAACCTGCAGAGTTTACCCTTCTAAACCTGAATCCCCATTCTGTGCAGGATTGAAGGGCCAGTGTGCAATTTTTACCCCCGTTTGTATGAATCTGATCTTATATCTCTCTCTGTACCTACCCATACGAGCAGATTGTGTTTGAGCAGTATATTCTCTTTCATAGAGACTTTAAAATGCTACTTTCTCATCTCTCCTCTCACAGTTTCAGCTCGTTGGCGATTTTGGAGGCGATGTTTTTGAAGGCGATGGACGTCCCGGATATCCTCTTGAAGCGTACGCCGTTGAGCGAGAGGCGGGGCAGCTTGCACACCTCCATCTCCCACTGCACGAAGTCGTCACGGGCGGGATTGCCGGCCATGCACAGCAGCATGTAGCACTCGCGTAGCTCGTACTCGCAGCTGTTGGCGTCGAGAACCTTCCGAATCTCCTTCATCATCTCGCCGGGCTCCATGGAAGACGTGGTCTTCATGCTCCAGGTGAAGCGCAGCGAGCGAGGCTTCGTCTGGTCTTTAAGCGAGGACACGGGCGCTGTCGGAGGAGTCCCGTCGCCCGGGGACGTGTCTTTGTTGTCGTCTTCCGGCCCTACGCTCGTCTTCTCCGACTTCTCTGCGCTGCTGAGCATAGATCTGGGGAGACAGGGATGGACAGAGAAGGATGGAGGTGGGGGAGGTTGAGAGAATAATATCAGTAGGGGGTGAATGAGGACATAAAGAAAGGAAAAAAGAACAAAGAGGATGTAGGAAGGTGTGTGGGAGAAAAGTGAGAAATTGTTGAGAGACAAAAAAAGGACGGTTGAGGGAATTTGAGGGTTGAAGAGTCAGAGGGAGGAAGGGGGTAGGGGAGAGAGGATGAGGCAGTGGACATGGTTGGAGAGAGACATACGGCAATAATCAACTGGAAACGTTGCAGAGGAAAGGAGAGCGCATGCATGTGTTCATGTGCAAATTGATATGGCGCAAACACATGGAACAGAGAAAGGCTTCTGCTTTAAATGAACACCTTTCACTCTGAGGCGTTCTCGTGTCTGCTGCACTCAGGATGTGAAGTTGCACCTCACATGCCGAAAGTAGAAATTGGAAGTTTTATTGACTCTGGACTGAATATGACAGCCGAGCCAGTTAGTGAGACTTTAAGAAGCGTTGAATCTCAGCCTTAAGAAGACTAAATTGAATTCAGTTCGTTCAAATCACTAAATGATACTCGGTGACAAAATTAGAATTAGGTAACTGGGTAATTAAAGGGATACTCCACTTATATTGGAAATAGGATAATTTTACAACTCCTCCAGAGTTAAACAGTTGGGTTTTACCGTTTTCGAATCCATTCAGCCGATTTTCTGATATTTTCTGATATTTATCTGTAACCAGACAGTTTCTGGTCCCATAGTATATTTTTTTCCTACTATGGAAGTCAATGAGACCAGAAACTGTCTGTTTACCGATATTCTTCTAAATATCAGAAAATCGGCTGAATGGATTTGAAAACGGTAAAACTCAACTGTTTAACTCTGAGGGAGTTGTAAAATGAGCCTATTTAAAAAAAAAGTGGAGTATCCCTTTAAACACTATGCGTGTCACAATCAAGAATGCTTAATGCTGCATTCAAGTCCTGCTGGGAAGATACTGACAAATGCGGAAAATGACTTTGTTGGTAAAAATGATGCACTGGGCAATTTCATGTTTCATGAAGCTTTTCACTATGCACATAAGGTGGGTAATTGATGCATTATCTACACTACAGTTCAAACATGTCTTATAGAAAGGAATGCTTTTATTTAGCAAGGATAAACGAGATTCATCAAAATTGGAGTGATAGCTTCTGAAAATTCAGCTTTGCAATCACAGGAATAAGATGAAAATCAAGTTTTGCATGTTGTTTATATGCATGCTTTAAGACAAACCATGTGCAAATTCATAAGTTAGCACCATTGCTGAGTATTTTCTCTTTAAAACTGCAGTGAACTGAAGACAGTCTCAAAAAAGCAGTTTGAAACAGGCTGTGTTTCTGCAGGCGGGCTTCAGCATATCATTACTATCTGAAGCAGGGGAGTCTCAAAAGAAGCAAGGTTATCCTGTTACCTTTTTCTGTTGATATGAAAAATTGAGTACTTTTAGCAATATAGCGGGTGAATTATGTTCATGATGATGTATATCACGAAGTAATATGCCCTTTTCTACTGACGTTATTTATAAGACGTTCTAAGAGACTGATTTTTAGAAGGCAGAATGAGATGTGAACGGGAACATGGTTTGTCACCTTATTAGCTATTTGATAATGTAGTCAAACAAAAGACTAATCAATTAATTACCATTATGTGTCCGACCTTATTAGGTAGGGACTAATTTGCATATTCATGTTTCTGAGTATATTAAATGAAGGAAGGGTGCGAAGTTACACATTCAAGCTCTTTTAAGGCATGAATAAAAAAATTTCACATGAAAAAAAGTTTAAATATGTAATTTTGGTGATTAAAGATGAGTTTTAAGGGATCGAGTTATTGACTACATGGGGACTTTAAAATATATTAAAAATGGAAAACAGTTATTTTAAATTGTAATAATAGTTCACAATATTACTGTTGTCACATGCAGCCATGGTGAGAATAAGTGGCTTCTTTCAATTTTTTTTTATTTTATTTTACCACACCTAACTAAAGTTTGGTCTTTTAAACCTCTTGCCTAATAAACTAGCAGTAATATTTTCTGACAAGCTTTATCACTTCATCAGCAGTAACCAAAATGCCTACAAACTAAATTGTAATGCTTAATTATGACCAATATTTAGATTTTTGTTGAATATTTTGACACTTTGATTCTATGAAGATTCTTGAATTGAAACACCCCTAACTGAAACAATCAAATTTGATTGATGGCAACTATGCATGCTAAAATTATGAATACATTGGTCTGATTTGCAATATTTAAAATGAATACAACACTAATACTACTTTTGGTTCCTGATCATGATGATGCTCAAAATATCTGAGACAATGTGCAAGTCCAAAGTGAGGTGCATCGCAAATGTGTTCACAGCATTAAAGATTTGATTATCATAAGCTGTGCATTGTCAGAAAAACATAAGCAGAAAACTTTCAACTGTGCATGTGTTTGGCAAATAGAAGACAGGCAGTAATCTGAAATTCATTCTTTGTGAACACAAATTATGAATGGACTAAAAATCAAAACATACACTCACCACTCATCCATCCACACACTGCAATTAATCCACCAATTAAATCCCACTGAGTAACTACTAATATTTGTAAAAAAAAAAAAAAAACATTTAAAAGCCCCTTTGCTGCCCAATTACACCTCTAAGGACCTACTGATTAGATCTGATGAAGTAATCCTTGTTTTGTTCTCACCTGCTTCCCTCCTCTCGACCCTCTCCCTCATAGGGGCTCCTCGAAAAAAATTGCAAGGTATTTAGTCTTAGTCTGAGTTCTAGTTTAACTCAATCAGTACAGTGAGCAGGAAGGGAAAGAATGGTCTAGTGCCACATTAGTTTATGAAAACATTTACCCCTCCAGAACCACCACATTCCACCAATTCCCATTTTAACACTACTTTCAGTTCTATGTATGCAGTGTAGAGCCTCTTGCCTATATCTTGAGTGTTATTGCTTTATTATATTATTTATAACGCTTATCAACGATTTTATGAATATGGTGTGACAATAGTGCTCACTCACAGTTACTGTGCTGATCTACAGTATGCAACAATGGAGTCATGTATGTGCAATGCCAATGAACAGATGAATCAGACAGACTGCTTCAGTAACATGAAGTGGGGTGGAATGATGCAGGTCTTTCCAAGATGTTCTAAAGGATTCTAGTCCCATCACCATGGTAACTACTCACATCCAACAGTCACCTGCCCCTATAGTCTGTCTGGCCGAGCACACAAGCATCCCGAACATGCCACCAGACACACAGACAGACAAACAGGCCCTTAGCAAACTGGCATCACTGTCAGAGTCTTTCTGCTAAGGGTCATGTGAAAACACCACACAGAGGACAGAAACACACACAAACTCAGTCACGTTGACAGACAGGGAGGGTAAAACACAGTTGGAAAAACAGCTCAGGACTTTGAAGGCTCTTCGTGATATAAACAAGCAAAGCAGCATTTGACTGTTTAAAGCTCTGAAAGAAACATGAAAAATTAAACTTGATGAATCCTGCAAAGAATAATTGGTTGTCACCAACAGGCATGAATTACAAAATACAGGCTTCAGGTTTGACCACCAGAGGGCGCAAAGACACATTTCCTTCAATAAGCTGCTCGCTTGCGCCCTCTGGTGGGCTCTAAAAACGAGATAAGCACCACACGTAAACTTGAACAAGTTACCAACATAATCATGTCAGAGGAGGAAAATGTCTTTCATTTGTTAATTCAGACTCCATGTATCTGTGCCAGTGGCCCAAGTGGTTAGTGACAGACAGATGGTGACATCCATTCACCAGGTGCCTGTGAGTCATTAGTCAAACAGATTTAGACAATGCCGCATAAACAGAGAGAGAGAGAGATGTGTGATGATGAAGTTTGGCTTTAGCAGGACAAAGCCTGACAGCTGGTCGGTCTCAGCTTCTGTAGCTGTTGTCATTGTTAATGAGCAAGTGAAAAATAAAGAAACCCTCCTGAAGTTGTTCTGCACAAGATAATATCAGGCTCAGTCATCCTTCAACCTTTTTTCTTTTAAATTTCCTTTAAAGCTACAGTCCGGCGTTTTTTCCTCTTTGTCGCCATCTCTGTTCGAAATCTGCAATTGCAGTCATTTGCGGAATTATCAACTTTACGCGAGTTGTACTTGACAAGGCACAGTGTGGATGAACACAATGTTTTAGGAGACTGTGAGGTTTGTAAGTCGCTGCGCCAATGTGGAAACTGGCATTCACAATCACAGATTATTTTTTTTGGAAATATGACCAACATCCACCTTTGTTCTGGTTCTGACATTGAAGTAAATCGCACTGATTTAATCCAACAATAGCTTATAAGTTATCATATCACTCAAAAAAACTTGTCAAATTGTCAATGTTAACAACATCAGCAGTGTAACAATATTTAATGCCCTTCCGATATGTATCCTTGTTTTCGCATGGGTTCGGTTGCAGTCACTTTTTTTCTGTAGCCCCTCCGAACGAAGTCTTTTGCATTTTACAGCGGGTGAATTTCTAGTTGTCGCTGGTGATTGCCGTTTGAACCTTTCAGGATCCGCCATCAAATTAATACATGTAATTATATCAAGTGCTGTGAGAAAAGGCTATAAATCTCCACCTCCAACATTCTCAAACGCAATATAGCCAACTAGCCGAGACTTTTTCTTTATGTGTACAAATGTGATGTAATGACGCAAAGACATGGAAATTCACCAGTACCACTGGAATTAAAAACATTATTACAAGCTTACCGCTTTGAATCGAGCTAAGGCAAGCAGATAGTTTTGTACCCTGGCTGGTTATGTTTTCTTAAATATGTATTTTGGGTCATTTTTAACCCAATAAAAGCTACGGGCTGCAGCTTTAAAAATACATGACAATAACACTTGTAATAACAATGGCAGATTGTCTTACTAGAAATGACTTTTACATGATCAAAATTAATTAAAGCTAATAGTACTTTGTTTTCCCTTTTTTGCTCAGATGTTCAAGAAACATCTTCCTCTTCTTGGCACATAGAGGATGTCATGGGGGAACAACCTGTGCCAAAACAATTACGACATACTCTACAGTTCATAAATTTGGGGTCTGCAGGATTTTTTAAAGTCTCTTATTCTCATCAAGGATGCATTTATTTGATCAAAAATACAGTAAACAGTAATATCGTGAAATAAAATATATTTTAAAATGTAATTTATTCCTGTGATGGTAAAGCTGAATTTTCAGCATCATTACTCCAGTCTTCAGTGTCACATGATCCTTCTGAAATCATCATATCTTATTATTGTCAATGAAATTAATAGAAATTTTAGTAATTTTTAATAGAAATCTTTTGTAACATTATAAATACTGTCACTTTTAATAAATTTTATGCATTCTTGTTGAATAAAAGTATTTCTTTCTAAAGAAATACAGACCCCAAACTTTTGAATGGTAGCGCATGCAAATGAACATGCTTGCTACTTTTTCCATGACATCATATCCTATTAGCCATCTTAATTATGACCTCAGGTCCTGTTATCAAAGCCCTGTGTTATTTGAGCAGGCAGAGAAACTAGTCACACACAGAATCTGGGGCACACAGGTGAGATCACCAGGTAAACTGTCAGGGAGGGGGAAATGAAAGGATGGAGATGGGGAGGAAAGGCGCTGAGTGTTACTGTGGTTTAAGTTGAAGGCGGTGGTGTTTTTAGGGCTGAAGTTGGTCGTTAGTGCTGGTCGTGACATTGCACAAAAAATAAACAACCAGGAAAAAGGGTCAATCACAGAACACACTGAGGGATGTAGACAAGGAACAAGGAAAGAGAAATAAAAAAGGTCAAAACAAGCCTTAAACAAGGGGGGAGGTTATGATCATCATTGCCTACCTTCTGGGGAATCTGAATGACAGATTTCTACAAAACAAAAGTAAAAGAAAAAAAAAAGGAAAGACATGTATATATGTAAATTGAGGAGCAAAAAAAAGGCAAATGAAAATGTCAAAGTTGTCAGGTTGCTTTGGACACAGCAACAATCAGTCTGTGGTTATTTGATGGGTTATCGGTTTAAACTGTACAGAATGAGCAAATAACATTAGTAATCTGGGTCAAATGCATGCAATTAAACTAAGTCAATTATTAACACTCATAAAAGGGTTGGGATGCTTACACAAACTAAGTAGAGTTATGTAAACTGCCTAATCAAAAAGTCTTGTTAAAGCCAACATGAAATAAACTATGCCCACTTAATCAATGCAAATTATTCCAAAGGAAAAAAGTTTATCAGACCTTTATCACTTGCTCCGCCTCTGACATGACCAACCTTCATGTCACGCGTAAGCCACACAAGTGGTGAAAATAATCTTAACCAAGATTTGATAAAAAAATCTCGCAAATTGTTAAAGCAATAATTAAATGTATATATAATATAAATAAAAGATTGGGGTCTGTAAGATCATTACAATTTAAAATAACTTTTTTTCTATTTTAATATATTTGAAAAGAGGAAGCACTTATTATTATTACTATCAATGTTGAAAACTGTTGTGCTGCTTAATATTTTTGTGGAAACTATGATACTCATTCAACAGAATGTTTAAAAGAACAGCATTTATTCTTTAGTACCATTATACATGTCCATACTGTCAATTTAATTAGTAGTCCTTGCTGGATAAAAGTATACATTTCTTAGAAAAAAATAAATCTTAATAACCCCAAACTTTTGAACGGTATTATATAAAGATTGTAACAATTATATTATGCCCAATTTTCACAATCCAAATGGATATTCTGTTTAATTTAATCAGAAGTAAAACGGTTTGCGAATGCCTTAAGAAAGGATTTTTACATTAATTTATTTAAGCGCACAAATCTTGTTCGTGCTTAAACATGTACAAAAAAGGACACAAACAGACAGATGCAAATGGACAAAATAGAAAACGTCATCTGTCATTTCACCCTTTTGAAATCTGAGACTGAATACAAATGAAAGACTACTGACCATGAAGGTGTGTTCTTTCGTTTCCTCAGTGTTTCTGAGGGATTTCGAGTCTAGCAGTTTAAACATGACTGCCTAGATCCAACACAGATCAGTTTGGTGATATGCTATTAAAGAAATGTAGCAACATAACCCATAATGTAAAGTTTCTTTTGTAAACTGCTATAGCGGCACTAGTGAGTGGATGCCAAGGTGTCCCCTCCACAAGTATTTATAGAGCAGGGGAATGCAATACCTCAGCTGTTACCAAGGATACTGTCACCACGGAGGTGCAGAAAAGGTAGATATGTGTTGGGAGTGTGTGCTGGAACTCGGAGACGGAGATGATGAAACTGATGAGGAATATACATGTATATAAATGAGCTGAGATTCGTGTTGGGATTAAGGGGACTGATAGCACTTTGATTGCCTTATGAAGGCCTGACCGTGTGGGTGAAATTATGACGATACCCAATACAATACCCTGTTGAACAATGTGCCGGTGCTTTGCAAGGACAAATCTATCGCAAAAGCTGTTTGATCAAAGATGGAAAACCAAGCAGCCGATTTCTACATGCTAACTGAATATGAAGACAGACACTTTTGAAAAAACCCTCAGCAGGAGGTGTGAGAATGTGCTGATGTGTCAATGTGGTTGTCTTTCACTTTGTCTCCAAGTCTCTTTCTGTTGTTTTTCATCACCACCTAATCCAAATTTAACTTCTGAATATACCCGGGATTCATCACACTCATTCTCACTCCACAACGCACAGGCTTCTTCTCGTAACCATAAACACGAAATCAATGACTTTCATTCCTATGTTAATTTAATGATTTGTTAACACTCTTTTGTCTGTCTCACCTGCGCACAAACTTGGAGGTGAACTTGCTGAAGATCCCGGAAGCACCGGGTCGTCGTTGTTGGCTGTTGCCATGGGAGAGGGAGGGGGAAGCGGGGGCTCCGTGGTACGGCGAACCCTGTTGGTCCCGTGCGCCCCTCTGCTGGCCGAGGTGGAAGGTGTTGCGGGTGGGCACCCCTCTGGGGAAATTGGTACGGTCCGTCCCAGCTGCGCTGCTGATATTGTGTGCTGATGGGGAAGCGCCAGGTGCTCTCTGTGGGGGATCACTGTGACAAAGCAATTTTCCCCAAACAAAAGAACATAAATAAAGATGAGAACATAGCAGGATTAGTATAAAAAAAGTAGATTTATTTATTTAATTGGATTTTAATTTAATATATATATAAGTTATTTAAATGCATTTAAATGTATTTTTTTTTCTATTTAAATAAAATAAAAAATAAGGCATGGAAGTTTGATTTTCACTATGTCTGCAGAAAGAATAGCCACTGATAATGGGTGTTTCAAACCTACATATTCAAAGGAGATTCAAAATGTAAATACTTTTTTATGCATTTATGAAATCTCCATAAAATCACGTTGAACTTTAAAAAAATATATATATAGATTTTAATTACGGTAGAACAATAGATTATGTGTCAGGAGCGCTATTCTGGCTCTTGCAGTGCTCTAGTAACTTCTATTACGTAATCTCAAAATAATTAAATATGTCAACTGCAGAGAGAGAACACACACATCATATCTCTAACCCAACGCATAGACCTTTAATCGGCTTTATCTTGCACATACACTCAACACAGAAACACACAGGATCAGGAATATTGTGAAACTCGCTCACTGCAATTTGTGTGTGAGTGTGAGAGTAAGAGTGTGTGTTCATCCAAGCGAGAGCAGTGAAACAGAACACCTCCCCCATAGCTGTCCTTTCTACACACTGTCTGTGAAAATCTCACCCAACCATGTCAGGTCCATGCCAACATCTGTTTAAGTGCCAACCAGTGTAGTAGAACCAAGTCAGAACCAGTCGCCAAGTGGTACAAACACAGCCAGAGAAGTCACATGACTTACCCAGTCATGTGACCTCTCTGGCTGTGTTTGTGCCACTGAACCTGCCAAAGCTAGATTATAATACACTGTCCATCCACTTCAGCCAGGAAGTAAAGTGAAGTGTGCTGGAACCTTCTCAGAAGCATAGCTGTGTTTGGAATAATGAACTAGGATCTGCTCTGTATACAGACACCAGATTGTCATCCAGAACACCCGGACATTTTTGTTGCTCCTGATTTCACAAGGTTACACACACTGGTCAACTTATAGAATTTTTTTTTTTTTTTTTTGAGATTTCAACTTAAGTCAACATGAAATGGTTCATGCCCATTTACTTGCACATTTCTGGTGCTACTGTGCATGTTACTCCAAATAAATATATTTGTGTGTACACTTCTTGATGGATTAAAATTAAATGAAATGGGAGAATTTTTAGGATCTAAACAATTCCTGATCAGCACAAACCAGTGTTATTTTAGTATCATTGATATAGTCTACATAATAATGAGAAATGTTGAATTGGCAACTAGCCTACAAGCTTTTATTTAATTTCACACTGTGTAAACTTTTTTTTTTTAATGATTTTAGTTTTAGTTAACGATAATAACCCTGTTCCTCATGGATAATGAGGAGTCCTGATCAACAATTTCATCATTGAATATTCAGTTTCACACCAAAATGGTGTCATATTATAAAAGTAAAATGGATTTTGACCATCAATTCATGTTGACTTTGACTCTTAAACATTAATTGGTTGATGGGGATAAGTATTTACAATTCCACTGACTCAAAAAAGTATTTTTCTTTTGGCCACGCGAAAACCAGTTCATCGGATATCCCGTCCTGCAGCCGATTCTAAAGATTTCATTTGTCTGCAAACATCAAACACTGATCCCTAAACCTACCCGTCACTGTAAACTTAACCAATGAAATTAGCCGCAGGGCGGGATTTCACTGTGCACATCACTAAGATAGAGTTTCAAAATACCATGGAGCAGAAATACTCGGGGGCAAATTTGGGGAAAACGTTATCTACAAACTCTGAATGTCCAAACTAATACACACAAACATGACACCTAAGCAAGGGACTAAGATTTTCCAATTGTAACACAGTAGTATATTAGATATGGTCCACAGCTGGATGTTTAAAGTAAAAATAACATAAGAGCACTCACTCTAGCAAATAGGAGCAGGAGTTTAAAGGGTTAGTTCACCCAAAAATGAAAATTAAGTCATTAATTACTCACCCCCATGCTGTACCAACCCCGTAAGACCTTCGTTCGTCTTCGGAACACAAATGAAGATATTTTTGATTAAATTTGAGAGCTGTATAACTACCACATAGGCTCCTAAGGGACTGCCTCTTGACGGCCCAGAAAGTCAATGAAGAAAATGTTTAAATATCCCAAGTGACTACCGTGGCTCAACTATATGTTTATCAATCGACGAGAATACTTTTTGTGCGAAAAAACAAACAAAAATAACGAGTTTATTCGACTATTCCTTTTCTTCCTTGTAGGCCAGAAACGAGACTTCCTTAGATTTCCACGACGCATGCGCGAGAACTGAACTGAAGTAGTGTAAGGAGATCGCAATTCTCGCGCATGCGTCGTGGAAATCTAAGGAAGTCTCGTTCTGGCCTACAAGGAAGAAAAGGAATAGTCGAATAAACTCGTTATTTTTGTTTGTTTTTTCGCACAAAAAGTATTCTCGTCGATTGATAAACATATAGTTGAGCCACGGTAGTCACTTGGGATATTTAACCATTTTCTTCATTGACTTTCTGGGCCGTCAAGAGGCAGTCCCTTAGGAGCCAATGTGGTAGTTATACAGCTCTCAAATTTAATCAAAAATATCTTTATTTGTGTTCCGAAGACGAACGAAGGTCTTACGGGGTTGGTACAGCATGGGGGTGAGTAATTAATGACTTAATTTTCATTTTTGGGTGAACTAACCCTTTAAGAAACAAACCCATGCCACTGCAAAAACACATCTGCAATTATCACGCATGTCAGAACATACATGAGACAAGCATCTAGTATTATTTTCACATATTCCATTTATGTTTTTCTCTTTAGTGCAGAGATTTTCACAGTGGCAAACCACACGGTTCTAAGGTGTCAAAGTGAAAGCCCTTACACGTGACTCGCGTCCATGTTGGTTACCCTCGTGCTACTTGTTGTAATGAAAAGTTCAGTTTGCCTCTGCACTGACCCTTCAAAGGAGTTTGGTGAAAATCAAAACAAGATGTAAGAGGGATTGATCCAGGGGCAACCAAAAGTTTTCTGAGATTGTTTTTTTCTTACATTTATACATTTGACATTCAAGGTACAATTTTGATCAGTTCATGCATTTACTGTGACAGGAACAATGAATCTCTAGTGAGTTCTAAGATCAAATACAATATTTTCAGTTTACTTGAAGCAGCCTTGCAAAATTTTCGTATCCGTGGAGGTCAACGCTTGTGTTCAGACTGAGTCACGTGAAAGAACCTTGAGAGACAGATTGAGCCACACTATGTGCTATACATGGTCTCTCACTCACTCACTTACTCACATACACTCACCCAAAGGATTATTAGGAACACCATACGAATACTGTGTTTGACCCCGTTTCGCCTTCAGAACTGCCTTAATTCTACGTGGCATTGATTCAACAAGGTGCTGAAAGCATTCTTTAGAAATGTTGTCCCATATTGATAGGATAGCATTTTGCAGTTGATGGAGATTTGTGGGATGCACATCCAGAGCACGAAGCTCCCATTCAGAGGATGGGTATATGGTGGCCATAAAGGGATGGACATGGTCAGGAACAATACTCAGGTAGGCCGTGGCATTAAAACGATGCCCAAATGGCACTATGGGACCTAAAGTGTGCCAAGAAAACATCCCCCACTCCATCACCACCAGCCTGCACAGTAGTAACAAGGCATGTTGGATCCATGTTCTCATACTGTTTACGGCATATTCTGACTCTACCATCTGAATGTCTCAACAGAAATCGAGACTCTTCAGATCAGGCAACATTTTTCCAGTCTTCAACTGTCCAATTTTGGTGAGCTCTTGCAAATTGTAGCCTCTTTTTCCTATTTGTAGTGGAGATGAGTGGTACCCGGTGGAGTCTTCTGCTGTTGAAGCCCATCCGCCTCAAGGTTGTGCGTGTTGTGGCTTCACAAATGCTTTGCTGCATACCTCGGTTGTAACGAGTTGCTCTTCCATCAGCTTGAATCAGTCAGGCCCATTCTCCTCTGACCTCTACCACCAACAAGGCATTTTCGCCCACAGGACTGCCACATACTGAATGTTTTTCCCTTTTCACACAATTCTTTGTAAACCCTAGAAATGGTTGTGCGTGAAAATCCCAGTAACTGAGCAGAAGTGAAATACTCAGACCGGCCCGTCTGGCACCAACAACCATGCCATGCTCAAAATAGCTTAAATCACCTTTCTTTCCCATTCAGTTTGGAGTTCAGGAGATTTTCTTGACCAGGACCACACCCCTAAATGCATTGAAGCAACTGCCATGTGATTGGTTGATTAGATAATTGCATTAATGAGAAATGGAACAGGTGTTCCTAATAATCCTTTAGGTGAGTGTATATACAGTGTACAGATCTGAATATGTGGCCCTTGCACTGAGGTATGATTCACTCCGGAGGGGAGATAGTGCACAGGGGGTAGAGAAGCACAGAGAAGTGAGAGAGATGATGTAACAGAGCAGCGGTACCTTCTCTCAATGGTCCCCAACCACGCTCGGAAGAGGCTCAGCTCACTGCATGCAACAGACCAACCATTCACTTGCAGCAGCATTAACAGGCTAACACGAACCATTGACACTCCACGCTGCAGCGCTACAATGGATGGTGTGTTTCTGATGTGGTCAGTGCTTAGTGTGAATATGTGGTTTTATTTGTGGCTTTGTGCAACTTTTATCAGTGATAGTCCAGAGAGGACAGGAAACAACGTTTAAAGGAGAGGGGGACATGATTGAGAAATCATTTGGCTGTAAGTGAAGTGGGGTTGAATTATTGTAATTTATCCACACTGCACATTCACATGGTTGTTAGGTAGAAACTAAGAAAACAACATCAATGTTCCCATTCTTAAGGCCCAGGTATCACCGTTCACATCCCATCTTAACAATCACTCATGACTTCATGAAAGCTGTAATAAATATTATTTCCAATTTACTACTGAAATCCCTGAAAAAAATGCATTGTCTGAAAAAATTTTTTTTTGTTTTTTTTTGCGCAATGAAACTGGTTGACCAAAATATATATTGCTGGTTAAAGGGGCAATTCACTAAAAAAAAAAATCTAACATAATTTTCTGGAAGAGCTTCATGTTGTTGCAAACATGTTTGACTTTGTCCATAAAATGAAAGTTAGTGGGGTCCAAAACAACTTTCACATTTATTATATGTTAAAAAAGTCAGATGAGGAACAACACAAGCGTGAGTAACCTATGACGTTTCACTTTTCAATAAACTACCCTTTTAATCAGGAAAGGACACCAGATCAACAGTATCGCATACTGTGGACCTCCAGCCAAAACATATGTTGGTGACTGCTTGTGTTTCAGCAGGAATATGAAAATTTGTCTTGTTTTGTAGCAAAACTGTCTCCCAGTGTTGACTTTGTAGACTCTTGTCACTCCCTGGCTTCCTGCAAGCTTTTTCCATGGCAAGTAAATGATTTCTAAGAATACATAACCCCCTTGAGACATGCTAAAGTTCCCAGATTTGGGTTCTCTCTTTGGCAATGTGAGGACTTGCCTGGGCCGGTGTGAGTGCAGGTCTGTGGGACAGGGATGGGCAGAGGTGGAGAGTGACTTGTGATGGCGGATGCGTGAGGAAGAGACTGATGAGGAGAGCACGGCGCCGGCCGAAGCCGTGGAGGCGCGGGACCCGGGGGTGCTCAGGCTGAGGGGAGAGAGACAGCGGCCCCTCCGTACACACACGCACAAATCGACACACACATTATCACGAGTGTGTGCGTTTGTGTGGAGGGAGGTAGGGAGGGAGGGAGAAGCATTCCATTAGAAACAGCACTTTGCACACATTAGATAGAGTGATAAAAAGGCCGACAGTACGACAGAGAGATAAATAGACAGACAGATTGATTGATAGATAGGCAGACAGACAGACAGATAGAGTTAAAGCCAAAGAGCAATAGATAGAGCAATAGACAGACAGAGAGATGAATGATAAAGCAATAGATAGGAAGATGGACTGAGATAGATAGATAGATAGATAGATAGATAGATAGATAGATAGATAGATAGATAGATAGATAGATAGATAGATAGATAGATAGATAGATAGATAGATAGATAGATAGATAGATGGGTGGATAGATAGATGGATGGATGGATGCTTCTAGGGGCATCTAAAGTGAGAGACAGTGGTGTATGGTACAGGAGAGAGGGGGAGAGGGAGTGAGAGAGAGGTCAAACAGAGTGCTGATTTCACAGAAAGGCACAAAAGAAACACACACACACCCACACACCACTATGCAGGGATTAGTTGAGCTTGTGGTGGAGAAATAACATGCTATCACCTTGCTATGTGGCAGAGAGAAGCTAAGCCTATTACAGACGACTACAGCAACCTTACAACAGAGTTAATGGTGCTTTTTTTCCGTCACAAGCCACCCTAATCCATTTAAAGCTATACATACGCTCACACTCACAGAGACACAAAGTTGCACACGCTCACACAGCTCGGACAGAAGAAAAACAAAATGGGAGTTCAAAGACAAAGGAACCAGAAGAGAGAGAAAGAAATGGAAAAGTAGAGGGATGTGTGGGGAATATTTAACCCAACACACTGTCTGAATGCCTTCAGAAAATCTCATGAAAAAACAAATTAGCAAATCCTGCAGGAGCATTCAAAGGACAAAAGGTTATAACACTTAAATACCCCATGAAATCATTTAATGAAAGCAGTCTTCTATTCAGCGCTGAAATATTCTCTACTTAAACAGGATGTTGGGGTGGGACAGTGAAGGCCTTTTTATAAAATAGCCTTTAGATTACATCACATGATTTGCTACTTGCTATTGCTAGTCAGAAGTTGATATTAGGAACATGTGAGGTTCTTATTCCAGAAAGCATAACTTGAGTGCATGGGGTATTTAACACAGTGTCACAGGCATATTTACACATTTACACCCATAGAGAACTAAAGCATCACAGCACAGCTCTAACAGAAACAATTGAAGGCTTGTTCACACCTAGTTCAAGGGATACTAGGGATACAAGGGATTCCACCCTCTCATTATTTACTCACACTCATGTCATCCCAAAATGTACATGACTTGTTTTCTTCAGATGAGCACATACATTTTTAGTGAATTAATCCATCTCTCAGTTCATATATTGCAAGTGTGCGAGACCCTCAAAACCAGGCAGTAATACATGACCCGAGTTGATGAAACAAAGTGATAGATGTAAGAAAAATAATATAATTTTTTTTTTCTTTTTACTATAAACTGTTATACAGTTTCATGAGTCAGCACGCTGTGCAACTCGCATGACAAGAACGAGCTTATATCATGCTTCAAAACATGCTGACATAGAGCTTCACAGTGCTCTCATGAATCAGTGTATGACATTTGAAAAAGAAAAAAAAAATGAAAATAAGTATTTTTCTTACACGCATCATTTCGTTACAGAAGACATTGATTCATCAATTGCCATCATATGGATTATTGTCATTTTGCATGGTTTTTGATGTGTCAATTTATGGACCGACAGAGATGGAATATTTTTCGAAATATTTTAGTTTGAGTTCATCTGATGAAAATTCCAATATGTGCTCAAGAAAAATGTCATATTATCAATGCTGGAAATGTTGAAAACAATGTTGAAAAAGACTAATTTAATGATCTGAAAGTACAAAAGAACAGCATTTATTTAAAGCGGAAATCTTTTGTAACATTGCATTACATTATAAATGTGTGACTCAAACACAAATCATTCTTTGCGATAGCAAGAATATACAGAATTTTATTGTTTTACTTTTATGTAGCTCCACAAAAACTATAAGATCCTGTTAACAAAGTCAAATTCTACTTGGCCGTATACTGATAGGAGAGTTCCCGACACATGACCTAAAAGTTAGTATCTTATTTCAATATCTAATACTTGGTCTGAACAGGCCTTCAATTATAATAACTAACGGCATAGCACTTTCTGCACTGGAATCGGCACTTTTTTGACAAAGTTTCAATTCAATTCCAGATTTGTGTTGTCTCATTTTATGAAACAATTAACAGTATTCAAACTACAAGGTACCTGCATGCATAATGACTTAACTCGTGACCATAACTTAAGCATTTCCATAATTTACATGCCGACGGTCACCATTCTACACTTCGGCAGTCTAGAAGACATCATCTTTGTGCAACATGACTCTAGTAGGCAGAAAGCTCTATATCCGTTTTTAAAAACACATCTCATGCATATACTTATATATAATTTATACAGTTAAGAGACGGTACACTGGAGTGTGTGGAATGTGAGCATAAGCAGCAATATGAATGCTGGAGAGGAAGGAGTTATAATGGATGAATGGTTAATAGAGGTGCACAGGAAGTGAAGGATGACTGATGTCTTAGCGCTTGTGGCGATGACCGTGGGAGGTTTACAGTATATGGGGTTTAGATGACGCTCTAATGCAGGGATGGGCAATGCAACTGTCCTACATAGTTTAGCTCTAACCCTAATAAAACAAAGGATTGCTAATGCTAAAGGCAGGTGTGTTTTTGTTATCAGGGCTGGAGCTAAAGTCTGCAGGACAGCGGCACTCCAGGATCGATGTTGCCCATCCCTGCTCTAATGCATGGTGTTATGTTTGCACTGTACATGTGCAACTAATAGGTTTTCAAAAGAATACAAACTCTGGTGACGGACATTTTCTGTTTTAATTAGTGTGTGGGTTTGAATGAGGTGGTACTCAAGGAGTCACTAATCCACCTGAAATCCAGGGTGACATGCCAATCTGGCATAACTCGGCCATTTTCTGGGGATCAAAAGCATGCCAGTCTTCTCCATGGCAGGTAACGGCCAACAGCACAGAGACAGGAGATAGAGTAGACTGTGTGTGTGTGTGCGTGCAATGTAAATTAGAGAAAAATGGTGACTGGTTTTGTTAGTGATCTTATCTAGAGGGATGAACTGTGCCCGTATGCGGGTGTGTGAGACATAGAAGAACGGTAGGTGTTTTTCTGTACTTTGCCTTCGAGATTTACAATCTTTCAACAAATGTGGTGTGTCTTTGGATGTACCTGTCCTTGCCGTTTTGTACTCCCAGAGTGGCTCTGTCAGAAATTGGGGAGTTTCTGCTGCGGCTTGTGCCCGTGGACAAGACACTATTCTGAAATCACAAACACACCAGTGTTAATATGATTAAATTAATTTGTTTTGTAAAAAAAAAAAAAAGGTTGGAATAAATTGCATTCAAATTGTTTAATGCATAGCTAGCTGTTATCCCACTTATACTTTGTAGATCTTATGCGCCAAAAAGATAAGTGTGCAGCCATCTTAAGAGCTTTTTTTTTTGCACAGTAGCTCTATATTTCTATGGCACTGCTGTGGAAGAGTAATTAGCTAATGAAGGGGTTTTACGTACTGTAGAGTTAATGAACGTTAGTATGGGCATTGTAATGTTTCAAATTTAATAGTTTTTACTGTATGATTATTTTTTAAATTATTATTAAATTAATTTCTAAAATGGCATCTTTTAACAAAATTATTCGGATAAATGCACGTTTGCATTTATCAGCTCTGGAACTGAAACAGTTATCCAAGTATGGGTGTGGAGCGATTAAAGGAACCATGCTATGAACCAAGCAAAGGACAGCCCTGCTATGAACCCTGGGTGAATGTTTAATGACAAACTAGATACAAAACCATTTTTATTACTCAAGGCGTGAAAACGTTTGCATCCAACTACTATTTGGTTGGTACTCAGAAAGGGCCTATTTCATAAAATAGTGTTGGCACTTTCTATTGAGAAAAAAAAGAAAAAGGTACACAAGTATGATGTGGTGTGTGAAAGTTCAAAATAGCATCCTCTGTAGGATTTTTTTACAGATATAACTGTGCCAAAAAACATCTCTCGGTCAGAGAGTGTACTTCAACCCTGGGCAAGCCCTTCCAGCCATCTGCTGTCTGAAAAATACCAGTGTGGAAAGCAACAAGCTTTCCAGAGCACCCCTGTGTAACTGAGAACAGAAGCAGTAGTTAGGATGTTTAAAAATTACCCTGCTATTATGTCAAAAGCTTCCTCAATCCATAATGTAATTGCGTGTTCAAGTTCATGGAAACTGAACTAAGGAACATGATGTGACTTTGGTACTGTTTTAGTCCTGTTGACAAGCTTGAGTGCTCTGAGGTGCTGTTTTCTATATTGTTTAATTTTAGCCTGTTAAAACTGAGCGGCGCGTATTTTTTTTGGCGTGCATGTTAATCAATGAGTGCATTCACACCGGGAGCAGGAGCAGAGCGTAAGCCGCACTGTTTTTGCTGCACGCTCACGCTTAATTGAAGTGAAAGCACACTTTTGATGGGCAAAAATAAATATGATTTCACACAAAAAGTGGCCAAAATGAACAGAATAAGGATGTCTAGTGAGTTTTAATAAAAGTTTGAGTAGGCAAATAAAAGAAAATAAGGACTCAAAAATGTTTATAGAAGATTAAGGCAACCCGGTAAAAGCTTGTTTTTAATTATTCAGTTTGGGTGAAAGTTATGTATTATAAAAATAAAAACAAAACTAAAGTAAACTAGCCAGAAAATATTAACATATATATATATAAAACATTCTTTTAGTTTATGTAACACACAGACAGCCACATAGGCTAGCACAACCCAAATCAAACCCGAGTGTGTGGTTTATTTTTGTGTTTTGTTTTTTTTAATCCGTGGAGTTGCAGTCTTGTAAATGTATCGAAAGTATGACTGAAACTAATAGATTGGAGCCATTTTCTGGGTTGTTTTGTTGTTTAACATTTATGCGAATGTTGCACACCTCCCCATAACAAACTTTCAAGACTATCAATGTTATAAATGACCAACTTCTAAAAAAGCATTTAAGATGACTAATGTTAGTTTTCAGTGTTTTCTTTGTCATTTATTTAGATTTATTTTAATTCATCCGTACTTACAGTAGAGGGTGTAGAACTCTTTTTGCGTTCACTGGAGATCACTGGACTGGGTGGAACTTTGGTGGAGCTACTTGAACCTTTCCTCCCAGAATCCTCCACTCCGTGCTTGTTTTCTCCCTGAGGCCTTTTCGAGTATGAACCTAAGGGATAAAAAGGAAAAAGTGTATAGACAAATATAGACGTGTATGTGTGTTTACCAGGGGCTCCACTAAACTTCCTAATCAACTCACCCTGATCTGTGGTTTTTCTGACGGGTTTCTGAGTGGATGACACGCTGCGCTGTACCTTATGAGGTGGAGAAGGGGCGTTGCTATTAGTGAGGTCACTTCCTGGGCGCGACTTTAATGACAAGATGACGCCCTCGTCAAGCTGCAAGACCAAATTTTCAATGACACATGAGCACAAAGCAGTTTTATTATCATATTTCGCTGCCTCTTTGGGTACTAAAGCACGAATGTGTTTATGTATGTGGGTACCTCTGAATTCTTATAGTCAAGCAGCAGATAGGTTGCCATGACTTCATTGTATTTTTGTTTGACGAGAGAGTCCTCTATTTCCTCTTGAGGGAAACCCATCTGAAGCATTATGTCTAAGTGGGCAACATAGACGCAATGTAATTTTAATACTTTTTTAATACCATTTCTTTCTGTAATTTTTTTTTACAGATATATTCTAACATCTAACTATTTCACCTGTTCTTCTGGGGTCTTTGTAGTCAGGCTGAGGGTCAATGAAGGGCTTCAACTCATCGTCTTCATAACCTACATTCATCCAGCGATCCCTCATGATCTGCTGCTGAGTCAATGGCACACACAGAAAGAGAATGAGAAAGATGGTGAGGGATCATATAACCAGATCTTTATGTGTTTTAATTCCATTGCAGATTGTTGCCAAAAATTTGCTTATCTGAATGAATGTACAGTATATTTTAGGCATTTACATGGTTTAATGCTGAACATAAAACATTATGTAAACGTAACAGATGTTGTCACTCTCCTAGCATGAATCAAAAGGTGGAAAAAATAACAGTAGAAATTGAACAAGACACTGTAATAAATATATTTATTCTAAATAATTGGCTTCCACTAAGGGCCCTCTGCAAACTTAAAAGGGGATTTCAAGATGATTTGAAATTATTTAAAACAAAACAAGCATTAATTAAAGATCAATATATTTCATATTTGAATTTACACCTTATTAACACCTTTTTTCTTTTCTTTTTAGACCTAGAACATTTTTAGACCTGGAAAAGTCGTCAAATTTTAATAAAATCTTAAACAGCATTAGCAGTTCTATGCATTTTATTAATATACACTTTTCTGGTTTTGCCAAGCTTTATATTTACATCCATCAAATCATGAATATCTGGAAATGTCGTTGTGCCCTCTGAATACTATTGTGGACAATGGAGTCACAATGGAGACAGTGGCCTTGGGAGTCAAAAAGGTTGAGATCTAACAGTTCTAAGTATGCACTACAACATTCACATTTTTTTCCCTCAAATTAACTTTTCAACTTAAAGGATTTTTGGAGAATATTCAGGCTCAGCATAAAGTAGTCCATGGCTAAGTCCACACAGTCAGTTTTTGTGTTTGACTCCCGCATTTTCTTACAGGTATGAGTCTCAAATTGTCTTGTTTAAAAACTAACTTACAGTAGTGTCTAGAATATTGTCTGTATGAACGTGCAACAGGAGTCAAACCCATATTCTCTAACATGTAACCATAGCGACAGTGACCAAAGTAATATCAAATATTGTGACATGCATAAAAATGAAAAGTATTATCACTTCTAATGACAAGAGTTCAATCGAGCTGCGAGTTAATTCATCAAATCTTCATTAACCGACAGGAGCTTTTATATCTGGGTAGAGCACAAAACTGACGGGTGCTGCTACTGTGGAGAACAGTAACTGGATCTAAAACCTTCAGATGACACACAGCTCATTTTCTGTCGATGTACGTTACAGAAAGCGAAACCACACACACACACACACACACACACACAAAAAAAACCTCAACACACTGTAGACAAGCATTTGTGCAGCACAGAGCGACTTTCTTGCACTGTATAACATGACAACTAGTGGTCACATCCGGTTCTGTCCACATAGCAAGTGTTTACAGAGAAAGGTGTTATATGAGTCCTGAAAATGTACAGGTGTGAGTTCAGTTATTGAATGCGGTTTTCACTCCTGTAATTAACTGTGTGTGAACATAACCATATTAAAGACTCAAAAAAGACTGTATATTCCCTTAATATTTTGTGCTGAGAATTCAGACATGATGAGACTACACTTAACCTAATCGAAAATTGAGGCCTTATTGTCTGTATTCTAATCCACAGTCAGATATCAGATGTGTAAATATATCTAAACCAAGCGCACCTCCAAACTTCCCCTCTTGGTTGGATTGAGGATGAGAAACTTCTTCAGCAGGTTCTCACAGTCTGTAGACATATAGAAAGGAATCCTATACTTCCCTCTTAACACACGCTCTCGCAACTCCTGCGTAAGGGAAACAGAAACACAATGAGAATGATAGTATAGAAAGGAGGAAGACAAAAATACGACAGAGACAAACAGGAACATCAACACAGATCTTCATCGTCCCTCACCTTCAGGTTCTGTCCATCAAAAGGCAGTGAGCCACTGACCAGCGTGTAGAGTATGACCCCGAGACTCCACACGTCCACCTCCGGCCCGTCATACTTTTTGCCCTGGAAGAGTTCAGGAGCGGCATACGGTGGGCTCCCGCAAAACGTGTCCAATTTGTTGCCAACCGTAAACTCATTACTGAAGCCAAAGTCTGCGATCTTTATGTTCATGTCAGCATCCAGTAAAAGATTCTCAGCCTTAGGGAGAAAAGAAGGACAGCATGCTGGTAAGTAGAAGGCTTTAAAAGAGAAGAGTTTCTTGGAGGCACTTGATTCGGAGAACAAGAAGTGTACAGTTCATTGTTCACACAATCAGCAACACACACATCTCCATTTTTTACTTCAACATTGTTATTATATATCAGAAATGCCTGCTTCTCTTCTTTCAGGGTGTTTGTCCAGCTTTTCATAATGAGTTATCGTGCTATTGTGTGTGTGTGTGTGAGAGTGTTGAGACTTGCCCTCTGTGCTGCCACTCAACATCTACACACAAACATTAGCCGCGCAGGGAAGCCGTGTTGCCTAGCAACAGATGCGGGGTGCTAACTGGGCTCGGTTTGCAGAGTTAAATATTACTCGGCCAATAGAGCCAAACTTTTACAACATGCAAACGCACAGCAACAAAGAAATGGACGAGGCATGGCCAGCACAAACGCCTGACAAAAGTGCTGTTATACGGTCACTTAAAACTCCAGATTGAATGTAGCTCTGCTGTATTTAATAGAACTAATTTTCATGTTGATTGGCTGCTCGAAATGTCACGTCATAGGCTTTTTTACAGAAACAAATTTCACTAAACTCGTGTTTCCAAAAGGATTCTCAATCTCAGTTTCTCTCAATTTGGAGATGAGTGAAAGTAAAAACATTAACCTATGAGATCAAGACTGATTCTGACTTTTTTAGATCAATTCTATAAAGAAATCTGACTCAATATTTATTTTGTCCAAGAATCGGACTATACTGTTCACACTGTTTAAACGTTTGAGGTTAGTACGATTTTTTTGGTCTGGTTTCAAAGACAGGGCTTTGATTAAGCCCTGTCCTAATTGATCTAAGGTCTAATTAGGGTGGCAGTGGCCTTGCATGGCTGACACCGCCGTCGGTGTATGAATGGGTGAATGTGAGGCAAAATGTAAAGCGCATTGGGTCTGTGAAAGCGCTATATAAATGCAGTTAATTTAGCATTTAATTAAGATTAGACCTTAGATCAATTAGAAAATTTAAGTAGCTTCTATAAACATGCCTTAGAAACATTACTGGTGTGCATCTTGAAATAAAACAATGGCGTTGTTGACTGCAAGTTGATTTCAGTTAAAACAGCTCAAACATGCACTTTAGTCTGGGACTAGCTTAAGCCTTGTCTGTTTTATGTTTTTAAAATTCTCTTACGCTCACCAAGGCTTTTATTTGATAATTTGAGTAATTGTAATTTGTTTCAGTGATGGTCTTCAATGTCACATGATCCTTCAGAAATCCTACAAATATGTTTGTTTAGTGCTCAAGAAATATTTCTTATTATCAATGTTGAAACAGTTGTGTTGCTTAATATGTTTTGTGGAAACCTTGAAATACTTTTTTTCTCAGGAGTCTTTGATAAATAGAAAGTTCATTGATCAAAAGAACAAAAAAACAGCATTCATCAGAGATAGATATCATTTGTAACATTAGAGATGTTGTTGCTGTCACTTATGACCAATTCAATGCATCCTTGCTGCAAAAATGTATCAATTTCTTTAAACATAAGAATAAAATCCGACTGACCCCAAACTTTTGAACATTAGTGCATGCATTAATTTATTACAAGAAACCAGTGAAGACAAAACAATTGCATTTATTTTAAATTCTTTTTCTGGGGCAACCGGAACTGAACACAAAGCAACAATCAACACGCCTGTAACTTGAAAGAGAAACACGATATAGATCCTGCAATCCAACCTGAATAGCCAGAAACCTCTGTTTTAGAATTGAGGTGTGGCTTAATTCTTAACACACACAAACACAGAGATACAGAACCTATTACATTTGGAAACCTTTGGTAAGTGCTCTTTTATTTATAGTGCTCATACAGTATTAAATCAATATGTTGAACATTGCCCTTTTCTATTGTAATCAATACAACTCCAGCATTGTGGTGTCATTATTTAGTGTGTGTGTGTGTACCTGACATTCCTTTGTTATGCGTTATGAGGACCAAATGCCCACAAGAATAGTAATACCAGTAAATTTGGACTTTATGGTGACATTTTTTGGTCAACAGCAAATACATCATACTAAATTAAGTGTTTTGAATATGTAAAAATGCAGAAAGTTTTCTGTGATGGGTAGGTTTAGGGGATAGAATAGTTTTTACTGTATAAAAATTATTATTATGTCCATGGAATGTCTCTATAAAACATTAAAACCAGTGTGTGTGTGTGCACGCAAAAATGAGACTAGATTTCTGGGGGTCCTGAGAGGGGTAGAAGAGAATTACATTACGTTATGCATGGAGACAGTGACTAACTCCAAGGTACAAGAGTCACTAGGATGATGGTTTGGCCCAATAAGCACTTTCAGAATGTGGGCAGAGTATCATGATGGGAACAATTCATCCAGTGAGACACTTCCTTTCATCTTAAATAAAATATCTGAGGTCAGCAGTTCCAGAGTTCAGAGTACACACATGATAGTGTGTGTGTGTGTGTGTCTGTTTAAACAGAGGACTCATACCCTACACCTGGACTCTTGTAATGGACTTTGATGACAGACACAGAAGAACTACTTAAGAAAATCTGAAAGATGAAGGTACAGCTGAATAGAGATCATCCTGTTTAGGGCATGTTCATATGTAAAAGGACCTAAGGCTCTCACACACATTCTCACCTTGAGATCTCGGTGTACAATACATTTCTGATGGCAATACTGCACAGCTGAGACAATCTAGAGAGAGATAAAGAGAGAAGGTGTGGTGACTAATCAGGAGAGTATGTGAAGTCATTTTGGCTGCTCATGGGAGTTGCCGCTCTTTAATTAAGCTGTTCTATCAGTAATTAAGCCATCATACACACATGTACACAGCACTGTTAATGAGTGAACACACACACACACACACTAGTAGAAAATACCCACTTAGCACCCCCTGCCACACACACTACTGTTCAAAATTGTACATAGTACATATATTGTATATAAAAAATGTAATATATATAGCATTTATTTGATCAAAAATACAGTAAAACAAGTTTTTGAGGAAACCATGATACAAAGTTTTTACTGTATCTTTTGACCAAATTAATGCATCCTTAATGAATAAAATAATTTATTTGAATAAAATATTGTATTTAACATTTGAATGACCATAATACAAATCTGGGATTCTAAATTGAATTTAAATTTGGAAATAGATAAAAGTTTGGGAATTTTTAAAATTCTTGACTAAATTGGGTTTCTAGGTCACTAATAAAATAACTAAATATTTGCCACTAATTATGTGGATTAATTTGTTCAGATGTTCTTGCTTCCACTGAAACACAATCCAGTTTGGATCATTCTCAAATCGTGTTAATCATCAGGTTTTATGTTAATTCATGTAAATTTTTTAATTAAACTTTTGCACTCAAATGTGACCCTGATAATATAATCTGCAAAAGATATATTACAAAATGTAGAATAGAAAACAAAATTTTCACCATTGGACTCGGACTTGGACCTTATTGTACATACATGTGAGCTTTGACACTGAAGTATGACTCACTCACATGCACTCGCACTGACCTGTCTAAATTTGGCACGAGCTTCCTTTTCTTTCATCCTCCCGTGAGCAACAAGGTAATCAAAAACCTCGCCTTGGAAATGGAAGATGGGAACATTGCAATAGAGTAGAAAATGACAGAGGAAGGCAAGAGGTAAAGAAGGAATGGTACAGGATGAGGAGAGAACAGAAACAGACATCATTATAAAATGTAGTGTCCTGATTTTCAGTTCTTGACAAGATTGACAGCTGACGGTTCTAGTCTTTCAGCCAACTCACCTCCACTGGCATATTCCATGACTAAATACAGCGTCTTGTCTGTCTCGATCACCTCAAATAACTTCACTGATGGAAAGAGAAAGAGAGATCATCACAAATCAAAACATATAAGAGAGTTTTCACACTAAATTTGACTTTTAGGTGCATCCACAAAAATACTTTAAAATGAAAGAACACATTTCTGTGAAATCATTCACACTGACACTATATAGGACACAAGCATGACATGGTAAAGCAACAAGCTATAAGTTAATCACTTTTTTGTTCAACACATCAAGGAGTAATGGCACTTTTCCATTACCAGTACCAGCTCGACTTGACTCAACACAACTCGCCTCGCCTCACTTTTCGTTCCGTTTTCCATTGCAGATGTAGTACCGCCACAAATAGTACCCGGTCGTCATAGCGACGCCTTTCGTTCCTCGTTGCCCTATCAAGCTCTCGCTGGCTGAACCAAACAAAGGAAAGTTTGCACCTCCTCGTTTGACCACGGTGTATTCTTCCGAATTGTCATAATAATAGTATTAAGTTCAGTAACTATATCTGGCCAAACTATTTAAAAATGAAGGGGTTATTCTGGATACTCCATCTGGCGCGTGCAATGATGACGCAGTGAATCGTGACGATTCTCTCTGACCAATCAGCAGTCGGCATTGTTTTCACATCACATGCTCGCCTTAGCTCGCTCAGAACCTCGCCGGAGGATATACAAAAAAAATTACCCGAAAGCAGGTAAAGGTACAACTTTTACACAGTGGAAACCAAACAAAGGCGAGCCGAGTCGAGCTGGTACTGTGTAGTGGAAAAGCGCCATAAGTGACATTGTATTGGTTGGTCGTTTTATTCTGTTGTGTTTTGTTGGATATCCCACCGTGTAATCTTATACAAAATCTTGCATCAATAGATTTCTGCAGGGATGACGTATTTTGTAGGACAAAACCCAAAAACAAGTTAGCATTTTGGCTCTTCCAGTTCAATTGTCCTGAAGCCAGTAGGTATTTTTTAAGCTTAATGGCGGTGACGTTGAAGTCGTGACCGTGGATGTTTACCTTTTTACTTCTGCAGATTGCATTTAGGCTTCAAATTGCATAGAATGTTCATTTGAGGAGATTATCATGATGAACAAAACATGCAAGAATCAAAAACCTTTCTTAGGTCACAGAGCTATTTTTTTTTTTTTTTTGCAATAATCCAAAAGCCAATGGAAAAATTATTTTGGGAAGCCAGGAAACCAGGGTGATGCTTCCGGTTTGGCCTACAAAAAACAATCACTGCACGTCCAGTTTAACTGTCACTGTGTGAATCTGTACTTTTAATTGACAGACTAGAAAGATTTTTAAACTAGTATTAGTATTATGAACCATTTATTCCAGTATATTTTCAGAGAATGATCATTTTCAATCAGACTGTTTAAATAGATTTAGAGCGAAAATGAGCTTGAGAATAATATTTATACTTTTGTGTTTTTTAGTGGCATCAGACTTGGTGTGAACAGGCTTTACTGCAAAACTACTCTATAGGGGTTAACAGTGCCAACAACTGGAGTTTTAGAAAAAAAAATTCTATAACTGATGTAGCGCATCTACACCTCTAAAGCACAGCATTATTACTTCATCGGATAACAGAGAATGAGCTTTGAAGGAAAGCAGAGGTGATAAACACATCTCTTTCTATATAAAGTGCTTCAGGCTTTGCAATGAAAGCTTCCAAACCCATCATATTCGTCTTGGTATGGTAAAGATTACACTTACAAACTGCATTAGAATGAGTTTCCTGAGCTAATAACAGTGAGAAGAATTTTTTCTCATAAAAATCTCATCAGCAACCATAAAACCTACAAACGCACTAAGGAGAGAAGAGAACAAACCCCAAAATGTTCCAAATCCAAACAAACAGCATCTAATAAAGGGAGAAGCATTAATAAAGTAGAATTAGAAAAACGAACAGGCATTAGGAGTTGCTTTTTAAACTTCAGAGTTATTCCATTCATCACAGTCTATTCAACGAAAACAGGCCACTACTGTTTGACATTAATGCAATGAATAAAATACATAATCCCTACTTTGTGTGTGTCGTCATGGAAAGATCAAGGAGCGTTTCGGATCAATCAGCTGTGATTTTGTGATGTGATACCAGCACAGGCGCACTCGGCAATTGAACAGAGAAAGCAAAGGTTCTGCATCAGGACTGAATCCTCAGTGCTGTATCCTCAAAGGTGGCAGGTCTTCCCTTTAATATTTCAGCTAAGCGCTTTGATATTTATGAGCACAAGCTAAGCACTAATGAGCTGGCGCTTCCGTCAGGACCACCGAAACAGCACAGGCAAACACACACACACACAGACTTAAACCCAGTTACACTGTGTGCAAGTTTGAGCAAAGGCACATCAACACACAACAAACAGTCAATTTCTTTAGCATCTAGAAAATCAAAGCCTCGGGAATGCTGATATCAATGATTTTCTGATGATTCATGTCAGATGCTGAATTAAAATACTCTAATAATTCTATTCATTGTAGTGTGGCCAGTTATACCGGTTCTTTCTGGATCACTCACCGATGTTCGGGTGATTCAACATCTTCATAATTCTCACTTCTCGGAAGAGCTGAGAAAACACAGAAAAGAGAAAAGGTTTGAAAAGATCATAGGCCTTGACCAGGAACTCTTAACCTGATATATTGTTGTGATAATATCAGATACATGAAATTAGGGGTTAAGGTCTGCGTTTCTCAAAAGCATAGTAAGCTAAATTGATCGTAAAGACCTTTGGTGCCAATGGTAGTATAATCAATTTAGGATTATGATGCTTTTGAGAAACGCAGCGCAGGTCAATCCCATTTCAATTTGGTTCAAGCTGGTTTGCTAGGGTTAGGTGGCCTCCCAGTCTGACCAGACTTTATAGGGAATTTGATAACTTAAACAAAGTGGCTGAACACCAACTTGGCCAAGCTGGCAGACCAACTGAGACAAACAAAACCTTTTAGGGTGTTTAAAGCAGAGTTTATGAATAAATTAAGTAATAAACAATGAAAAATCTGTCTGAACATTTCGTGAGCTTAGAATTATAAGGTCCTATCTCCACTTTTGGTCGAAATTGATTTTTTGACATAATCTGATCCATTAGGTGTTTATTAATGCCTGTGTGGTGTTATTTTTGTAAAAAAAAAAAAAAAGATGAATAGATAAAGCTATAATAGAAGATTATACTACATAACAGTTTTGCCAGCTGGGATGTAAACAATTTGATGCTCAATATCTCAGAACTACCCTAAACGGAGATAGAACCTTATAATTCTAAGCTCACGATTTGCTATTGTCTGTTAAATAATGTAAATATGCTCTATTTTTGTACAAACACAGATGTACTGTGGCAATCTGGGATTACATACACTGTCGTTCAAGAGGTCAGTAAATGACAGGTTCAGTCAAAAACAGTAATATTGTTGTGAAATATTCTTACAATTTAAAGTAACTGTTTTGTATTTTTTTTTTTGTAACATGATCGTTAAGTAATCCTTCTAATATGTTTAGTACTTAAGAAATCTTTGTTATTATTATAAGCTGAAAATGTTTGTTCTGCTTAATAAAGTGTGGAAAGTTTTTTTCAGCACATACATTGTTAAAATTTTACTAGCAGGAGGAACAATGCAATAAACACATTTTTTAATGTCCTCCCGGATTCTGCTGTAGTCACAGCAGAAAGTTAATGGTACATGACCAGTGTAGGCATGTGTGTGTGTGGATAAAGCAGAACCCGATCATTCCCACGTCAGAGGAAATCCTTCAGCCTCTCTTCCTGTAATTACCACTTCTATGCCCTCTCTCCAGACAGATATACAGATAAAGAGAGGAGATTCGCAGACTCACTTTTTGAAGACTAGAAGAGTTGAGCTGGGTCTTGTCAATGATTTTCACAGCTACCTGTGACAAAAGAAATGGGATACTTTACTTCTGGAAAGGTCATATATGTGGAAGAAATGTGAAATTATTTTTGAATTTGGAGCTTTCTAGACTGAGAAAAGCCAGAAAATGTATTTAATTTGCTGCCCTAGGAGGCCATGCCTACCGGTAACAGAGTGCAGTAGTTAAACAACAAGTCTAGGCCACTAGTGAGTCTCCGTGATGAGTCTCCGTGATTACCGTTGAGCAACATCACTGAGACGCACTGGTCTCGTATCTCTCGCGGAGGAGCAGGAATTTTTTTTAGCAATGTTAAAACGCACATCAACCAATCACTTTTTTTAGCGTTCATAAAAACACTCAGATTCACCAATGGAATGAATTCAGTTAGATTGAAACAAAAGGTGTGCATATAAAGACTGAATGGCGACTGCAGGAAGAAAAACCTGAATCCCGGAAATTAGGAAAATCTTATTAAACCTGGCTTGAAAACTTTTTAATTTTGTTGCGTGATGAAATAAATCATAAACCTATTAAATATTTATTGTGTAACAATAATTTCTATCAGCTTTTAAATAAATGTGACTCCCACAGTTGTGGTATAATTTTTACCCTACCAAACAATTTTGCTCTTAAGAAAGAGTTTAGCAAGACTGAAAAAGTATTAGAGAAGAGCATGCTTCAGATCAAATTTGAAACATGTCAAAAATGAAAGAGAGGGAAAAAAAACATATTTTTTTATTTATTTGTGTCTCATTCAATTTGATTCTCACATCCAAACCACTATCAAACGTGATTTAAAATTAGATTTCACTTCTGGGGCCAGTTGCATGAACACAGCTATTATAATATGTTAAGAAGTAGTCTGACCAACTAGTAGCCAAAGAATAAGGCGTACTTTCGTTCTCAAAATTAGACTTTTAATTTAAAAATTAATCAAAGCTTTTCAGCAACCGATTTAAAACAGTTATGACCAATCTTAGATGTCTAACTTGTAATACTTAACTAATCAGTTTATGCAAGGGGCCCCTTGACATATATCACAGTTAGACTGTGGCAATTTTGGACACAACATGAATACCACAAGGCATAGTTGTAAGTTAAAATATCAAAACAGTCAACCCATTAAATAAGTACACTATAAGCATCCACTATATGACCAACTAATAATTTGTTTTTAAACTGTGCATTATCTAGAACAAATCAGAATTGTCGGCAATATGTGTTACAGGGAGCTCATATAGCATGGACTCGTCTAACTAGATCCACTATACACAGGTGACAGGAGACCTAGTTACCTCTTTAGAAGTGAGGACATGTCGGGCCAGTTTAACCTTGGCAAAGTTGCCCTTGCCGATGGTCTTCAGCAGTCGGTAATTTCCTATATGGGGGTTTTCATCCGCCGTCGGCACCACATTCCGAACACGTGAGACACTTGAACGCACTCCTCCTTTGGCATCAGAGTGAGTCTGACAGAGAGATGGGATATAGGGATCAGAACAAAGTTTCAGATGGCCAAACTCAAATGACACTCAAATTCAACAACATTCTCCCCCCTCACTTTCACACACTCAAACATGCTGGTATCAGACTGATTCACAAGAGGAGAATATGGCATTAATCACACAGCAGCAGAGCAGAATATTGCTCAATCTTTTTGTAAAGCTAAATGCAGAGTGACAATCACATCCCCTAACTGAAGAGAATACCTGACAATGGGCTTTATGCACAGCTGCACTACTTCCTGAACTTAAGCCAGCTCCTTGTTTCCTGTCTGCCATTATTGGCCAAATTGATTAATTCATGTGTGTCTGATTATTGTTGCCGTGACTACTGAGGTCAGGCACACCTGAATTAATCAATTTAGCCAATAATGGCAGACAGGAAATAAGAGCTGTTTCTCAATATGCGTTCTTGTCTGTACTTGTGGACTTGTAAAACGTCATCAGTCGCTGCCCAAGTACTGTTCCAATTCAAAGTTCACATCTAGCCAAGTTCTTGATCCGCCCGGTTTACCGAGGATGCATCGAGAGGTGACTTGTGCGGACTTGAGATAGCCAGGTATCCCAGAATGCATCTCGCACTAACCAGCAAGCGTCAATGGGAGAGGAGAAAATCTGTGAAATATCAAAATACTACTGTTATTGTGTAATGAAATGTAATTTTAAGAGTGTTTCAGGCGAGCATGTGGTTGTTTAAATCTCAAATCTGTAGTTTATTTCTAAAGACAGCGCCTATTTGAAAAATATATATATAAAGAGAGAACCGGAGCAGCCAGAGCGTGCTGAGTGACGCGATCAAGTACGCTCTGTTCCATTTGCAGAAGAACTGGACTTGCCTCCTCTCGTCCTCGGAAGTTCGTTCTCCGGAGTCGAACATGGCAAGTCCGAACTATCAAGGACACAAGTCCAAAGTTTGCGTACTTGGTATTGAGAAACGGCTAAGGAGCTGGCTTAAGTTCAGGAAGTAGTGCAGCTGTGCATAAAGCCCATTAAGGGGTCAGAACCAGATCAGAAAGTTTGAGTGATATGTGAAGAATGAAGAGAGCCACAGCAAACATTTGAAGCAGAAGTTGGTGTGTGTTTTGACTATCGTAAGAAGGCTTCCTGCAGTCATGAAAGATAAGGTAACAGAAGTGTGCAATACAGTTCAAAAGTTTGGGGTCACGGAACAGTAAGTTTAAAAATAATAATAATAATAATAATTTAATTCAGCAAGAATGCGTTCATTGCGCTGATTAAAAAGTGACAGTAAAGACAATTATAATGTTACAAAAGATTTATATTTCAAATAAACATGTTTTTTAACTTTCTATTCATCATTCTTTAATAAACTATTACGGCTTCACTATTAAGCATCACAACTGATTTCAACATTGAGAAATGTTTCTTGAGCACTAAATCAGCATATAGGAATGATTTCTAAAAAAGATCATGTGACACTGAAGACTGATGAAAAAGCACAGGAATACATTTCATTTTAAAATATATTAAAATAGTAAACCGTTATTTTAAATTGTAATAATATTTTACAATATGACTGTTTTTACTGTATTTTTAATCAAATAAATGCAGCCTCTGTGAGCATACATTTTTCTGTAATGGTTTAAATGGCAGTGTAGCCTTACTTGTGTATCATAGCAAGCAAATGAGTAGGCATAAGGCTCAGAGAAAATCATGCACACTCAAACTCGCTGGTTCCAAAGAGATGAATATTATGTAATGCATCACATGCACCATGTTAATGTATGACATTCTTCAGCATTGGTGAATACTCTCAATGTCCTTTTATTCTCAAACTCTGACCCAGCCTCCACACACACAGTTGTGAATCATTTTTTCATTATTACTGATCATACAAAGTATTAAAAATGAAAGACAAAAGTGGCAGATCTGAACAAATTACATGAGCGAGACTTCAACTTGCATTGTTCCCGAGTGGAGCACAACTCAACTTATTGTAGCAACAGTTATGAATCTTTAATATATAGTTGACCCAAAAAAGAAAATTCTGTAATCACATCGTCATGTCTTTCTAAAACGTCTATGACTTCAATCTGTGGAACAGAAAAGAAGATTTTTTTGAGTCCATACAATGGAAGTCAATGGCATAACTGTTTGGTTATCAATAATCGAGACACCCCTCGCTGCAGCCTGTAGCACGATGACGTAGCTGGATGGTCCAATACGTAGTGGATGGATGTGTGTTTTGGTGACGTCATTTACGCATGCGCAGTGCCGATCTCTGATTATAATTCGAATGCATTGGTTTTAAGTGATATGTAAGCTCAATATTGTACTGAGATGATGTTCAAACTGTGTAGTATAATTCTGTTAAATAATTATAAGTAATTATTGATGAATAAGTAAGGAAAATGCTAAAATAATAACAGCATGGGGAAAATAAATCTTGTAATAATAAACTCGCATTTATGTTATACATTCAGAATTGCGAGAAAAAAGGTCAGAATTCTGACTTTATAGCACACAATTGCGACTTTATTTCACGCAATTCTGTCTTTATAACAAGCGATTGAGGCTTTATTTCACCTAGGCTAATTATTTCTCTATAACATGCGATTAAGGTTTTATTTGACCTAATTCTGTCCTTAACATGCGATTGAGGCTTTATTTAACCTAATTCTGTCTTTATAAGATGCGATTGAGGCTTTATTTCACCTAATTCTGTCTTTATAACATGCGATTGAGGCTTTATTTCACGCAATTATGTCTTTATAACATGCGATGGCTTAGGCTATTTCAAGCAATTATGTCTTTTATAACATGCGATTGAGGCTTTATTTCACCCAATTCTGTCTTTAGCATGCGATTGAGGCTTTATTTCACCTAATTCTGTCTTTATAACATGCGATTGAGGCTTTATTTCAAGCAATTATGTCTTTATGACATGCGATTGAGGCTTTATTTCAAGCAATTATGTCTTTATAACATGCGATTGGCTTTATTTCACGCAATTCTGACTTTATATCTCACAATTCTGAGAAATAAAGTCTGCGAAAAGTATACTCGCAATTGTAAGGAAAAAGTCGCAATTATTTAAAAAAAAAGTTTTATTCTGAAAGCTCTGAAAATAAGAGCTTCGCTCGTTACCATATTTAAATTCTTGGAAGATCAACGATTGTTCACCAACTCTCTACACTAACTAGGCCTATGAATTCTTAATGTGCATGTGCCATCAGCGTTTATCACAGGATCGCGTTTAAAGTCTGTTTAGAGAGAACGGTGTCATCCAATTTAATAACAAATTATCATTTCGACAGAATCAAAACTAACTAGCTGTAAAATAACATTATTCATGAACCGCTATAAAGCAAAAACAATCTGTTACATTAAATTAAAGCTGCTTTGAAACAATCTAAATTGTTAAAAGCGATATATAAATCAAGATGACTTGACTTGACTAGTGCGCATGCGCGCGTTACAGGGTCCAACACGTATTGGACCGTCCAGCTACGTCATCGTGCTACAGACTGCAGCGAGGACCTCTTGCAATAATCTTCCAAATATCATCTTTTGTGCTCTGTAGAAGAAAAAAAAGTCTTGGTAAGTAAATTATTTTCTCTTTAATAACACTAATCGTGGGAAGAATTATGGAACAAGAGGGAGGAGGAGGCATAACCACATCAATCGTGAAGCATTTAAGTGAATGAAAAATCCTAATCTCATGAGACATCCCCATTTTGGGATGTTTTCCAAAACACACAATGTTTCCTTTACCCCACCAAATCGTTTCAATTTTCCTGTCCAAATAAAGATCAAATCCCAATTTCTCACATTACCCAATGACACTGGAAAAACAAACAGATCAGATTAGATTGGATTGGATTGGATTAGATTACAGTGGATTAGATTAGATTAAAACAGACGGGTCCATCTGCAAATTCACAAACACACGGAACTATGCTACGTGCTTCCCTATGTTTTCCTGCTTCCGTTCCGTCAGTCACCAACATGTCTACGTTAACGCAAGTGGAATCATGTTGCATTTATCATTTTAATCTTTTCAGATATTTCTCCATGTTGTACTCAAGTCAAGCGAAAGCGGACACAGAGCTCATTAAAGAGAAAGTTCAATCATCAAGAGGAACACAGCCAACTCCATGAGCTCTGTGGTGCGATGTGTGTGCGCGTGCACGCAAACCACAGTTCACATATCCGAGCACTGTACATCACGACAGCTCTGTCTTCTTCAAAGACCAACCGATCAAAGTTCAAAGCCATAAATGTAACATTTGACGTCAGCCCACTAAATGGTGCACACTCAGAGGTATGTCTTTAAATGAAGATGCTCTTTATTTCTTTACTCGTTTCACATGATGCCAATTTTGAAAGAGGGGCAGCTCAAGGGAAAGGCTGGCCGAAACAATACAGCAAAGCCATACTGTCTGTCTGAATGTGTATGTGTATTCATAGGTAAGCTGAGCCAAGAGCAGTACCAAAGGTCAGGGCATGGAAAGCAGGAGATTGACAGTGTGCTGACAAGAGTAGAGGGGCAGAGACTTAAGGTATTAGAGGGCAAGTGTGCAGATATGCCTGGGGACTCAGATTTTCTAGATTTTAGACTTTGGTATGGCTTGTCTGTGAGCGTAGGCAAGGGAGTGCTGATACAGTCTGCATAAAAGGGAACTCATATCAATACATCACTCATAATCAGCAATGAACCACAATGCACTTTTACAATGGCACACTCCTTTCTAGATAATCAAGCAGAACTTCACAGGAGACCTGACTCATTGCATATGCAAACATACTGTACACATATAAGCAAGTGTTATTCACAATATAAAGCATAAACTCAGAACTCCAAAACAGACAGGTGAGCTGCCTGCCTAGATGACATTTTTAAGCAACAAAGCTGTACTAGTCTCGACAAAAAGATTGCTCCAAATCTGATTTTGGTAACATTTTGAGCCAGGTATCATCTGTGGAAAAGGCAATTAACAATACAC